ATCGACATAGAAAGTATCTCCACTGACTCACTTTCGTTTCATTTTATCAATTCTAATATCATAATCGCCTTTTACAGACTAGCCAAAACTTCAGCCATTCTTTATCAGAATATTCAAACTTACCAATAACAAAGCAACATAATATTTTCAATTATGAGTAACAAAATTTACTCAATTGAGCAATAATTGAATTCAATTTACCATATAAATTTTCATATATTAGATATGCAATTTATATTGAATTTAACTACAATACAATTTATTTTCATTCAATTATATTAATTATTTTTTATTAGCTTGTAAGTTATATTTGTTAAAAAAAATAAAACAAAATACAATCGAGTACAATGGTATCGAAAAAAGTAAGTAAAGTACAAGATATTAGTTCATGTGAAAAATCAAAGACTCAATTAAAAATTCAATTGCATGCAATTAAGAGCATTATGAATATGCTTTATGCAAGAACAGCAGAAAGATATTTTAAATCGATAGCGAAAGCAGTCTGAAAGGAACTACCAACTACAATGAGGAGATTGAGCCTCATAGAATTAATAGAATTAGTAAGAGATTGAGATTGACTACAAAATGCCACATTCAATCGAGAATTTGTGATGAGAGGAGACTGAGAGCTTTTTCTTTTTTTAATCACTTTTATTAACCAAAATAATGCATAATTAAAAAGCTCATAATTAAGTGCAATCTAGAAATAAGTATGTGCATAAATCTACATACACAAATCAATTCAGTTGTACAACGCTTTAGTGTAGTGATAGTGAAATGTTACCGTTAATCAATAACAACTATTTGCTTTATAATGTATTTTTAATATAATATGTGTTATTTTAACGTTCGATGTGGCTAATTGTGTATGAATTTGCTTAAGAAAATTTAAAATTATACTTAATTTGAAACCAAACCAATCCACAGCACACTCCTTTCCGCTCCTTTTATATATGCACTTTTTATTAACGCTTCAGTTACTCGAAAATCAATAAAATATAAAATAAATTAAGACAAGTTGCAGTTTGCCGTTAATTACTTGAAAAAAAAGTAGAAAATACTAAAGCACAACTCATGCAGTATCCAATATGTGTCGCCTTTTTCCTATCTATTGCAGCATCGTCAAGGGTTTCCCGCCCGTCTCGCCATTCATCGGTGTTAGTCCGACGCTTTGTTACTTGCTCAAGGAGAAAAAACCATTGTGCTGTCTGCAGCTGGCACAGGTGAGATATGAAAATCAATAAGCACACATAGCGGTAAATGAATGAATATATGTATACATATGTATATGCATGTGTATTTGTAGGTCTGCGAGCACTGCAGCTATCGCAATGCCAAGGAGTATCAATGGCAAAACAAGACGATTATTCTGGCAGCGGATTATGCATCGAATGGCATTTACAACTTTATCATACCGTTACGTGCGCACTTTCGTTCGAAAACGTCATTAAATCCGATTATATTGTTGTTGGAGCGTCGACCGGATGTGGCCTTTCTCGATGCGCTCTCCTACTTTCCGCTGGTGAGTGTCAGTTTTCACAGCCGCTATGAATTCAGATTATTAAAAATATTGAGTGCTGAGTTGGGAGTCGTGTGGAAAACTTTATTGATGAGTTCAAAAGAAGATAAGAATTAAAGTAATGCACGGGTTTCCTGAACACTTTTTTTTTGTATTGTAAGGTTGATTATAAATTTGTTTAAAATTGTGTTAGGTTATAGTATAGTATACTCCATTTTTCGCTTGCGCTCTCTTAATAACTTTTAAATCGTCTAATGATTAAGCTGTAGTACCTAAGAGCGTGAAGTAGCGAGCTCAAGTTATTTATGGGTGAGCCTGCTACTCAATGGTAGCGAAGGCAGTGAGAAGACTTCGGGAATTTAAAAACTCATAAGTAAACATGCAATTATTTTTTAACGAAAAGCCAATTGACTTCCGTTTAATAGCAATTTTAGAGCTCGACAAAACGATAGTATTTTCGGATTGTTGATGTATTCATTGTTGTAGTTTATAGCGGTAATATCATTGTTTTTTTCACTTTCATTGCCAAACACACAAAGAGGGGGCCTTTATTCTTCAACATATAACTCCTGCTCATGATTTATTCAGCTGCATTAAAAAAAGTTTACACATTGGAACATTAATTTTGCGTGTGCCCTGTATTGTAACACCCTACCTTGCATATATATCCTTCTATCTTGAGGTCCTTTTAAATATTCGAAATGTATATTGATTATTAGGTTAGATTAGGTAAATAGGCTGATTTCTCGTGTGGTCACGAATAATCCCACTTGGACAGCACACAATGGACCTTTTACGTTCCACTCTGCTTTCGCAACCAATCTTGCCAGCCAGAATGTACGAAGACAGGAGAACCGCTGCTCGTTCCTATCCTGACGGTATTTGTACAAGGATATCTTTACTTGCAAGCTCACAGGCTTTACGATTTCCGACGATTCAGCTGTGGCCAAACACCCAGACAAGTTTAATATTGAAATAGCTTGATAATGCAGCCAGTGAGGTAATGCAGGGTTGTACCTCTGCTATCGGAATGGATGCATACCTCCCTAAAAGAAACCGCACTTCTGTTACCTTGATGGCTGCCATCTCAGCTTAAAAGACTCTACAGTGATCTGGCGGTCTGAAACAAGAGTTGATTGAGAGCTCCCTATCTTTCCCTTGAGCTTCGAACTATCCAAATCTCATTGCGCCTCTTCTCCTGCAACTCCGCTTCACCTACATATCTCAACTACGTATGTGCTCGGAAAAGATGCCGCTAGGAGTAGGTTCCGCAGCGCACTGGTCCAAGTTATCAGGGATGCAGGCGAAATGAGAGAGGATTTCGAAATGTCGCTCCCTGAGGTTTTCAATGTCTCCAATTTCCTGGATTTCCTGCAATATGTCGAATGGCATTAAATGCCATCATTGGTCTTGTACGTAGTGCACCACTTACGCCAATGTGAGCCGCTCATCGAACACGTTTTAGTTGTTTTACCGAACGCCCTCCACCAGGTAAATACACCATAGAGCAGTATTGGCTTCACTTTAGTCGAGAGCCTCCCATTGATCTAAGGGGTGCATTCGGGATTTCTCACTCAGCGAACTACGTCAAATTCAAGTTTTAAGAATGACTTTTAAGATAAAACAGCCCTAGATATATTTTAAGCAACTCTTAATACGTTTTTTATATCTGGAACAAAGTATATTAAATTTGCCACGAAGTTTGTAACACCCAGTAGAAAACGTGACGAGGTGTGTCGATTAACAATGTCCGTCAGTCCGTCTGTCTGTATGTCTGCTTGCATATATGCAAACAAGTCGCTCAGTGTTTAAGATATCGGTCTGAAGTTTTGTACACGTACTTTCCTCTCTAAAAAGCTGCTCAAGTGTCGAAAAAATATCGGACCCCTATAAGGTTTAGTCGCCATACAAACTGAATAATCAAAATAAAGTCCTTGTGTAGAAAGCTCTTTTATTTGACAAGATATCTTCAGAAAATGTGGCAAGTTCGACTTGAAGGTTGCTTATATTAAACAACGGGGCTCGAACAAGATAAAGGATGAAAACCATTTTCCAGATCCTTTTCAGATTTGGTTATATATATCGTAGCTAAAAGAAACCACCTTCGGTGCAGCCGAAATTGACTTTCATTCATGCTTAAAAATTAATTTCCTCACTTTTTTCCACATATAGGTTTATTGGATGCTCGGTTCCATCGACTGCTTGGATGACCTGCTGCGTGCCGGCATTACCCTTGCCGAGAGTGTGGTGGTGGTGAACAAGGAACTGTCCAACTCGGCGGAGGAGGATTCGCTGGCCGATTGCAACACCATCGTCGCCGTGCAAACAATGTTCAAGTGAGTAGAACTCTAAAATACACACATATACGCCTAAACAAAGAATATTCTCTTCTGCTTCCGTTTGTTAGATTCTTTCCCAGCATTAAGAGCATAACTGAACTCTCTCAGAGTTCCAACATGCGTTTCATGCAGTTCCGTGCGCATGACAAATATGCGCTGCACCTAAGTAAAATGGAGAAGGTACGAATATGAAATGTAAATATTTTGAGGGTTGACAAAATATTATTATCAACATCAAATAATAAGTGATAAAAAATATATTATTCATATATAAATAATTTTTCCTTCGAAAATCTTCTAGCGCGAAAAGGAGCGCGGCTCTCATATTTCCTACATGTTTCGTCTGCCATTCGCTGCCGGCGCCGTTTTCAGCGCCTCGATGCTGGACACGCTACTCTATCAGGCATTCGTCAAGGACTATGTGATTACATTTGTGCGCTTGCTGTTGGGCATCGATCAGGCGCCGGGCAGTGGCTTTCTGACATCGGTAAGTAGATAATGTGTTATGAAATAACTGTAGACTAATTGGCCGGTCACAAAATGTTCATGCCCAACCATGAACCTTATGGTAACAAGTCAAGCCGTTTTTTTTTTTACAAATAGTAGGAGGAAGCACCGAAAACCGAAGTGCTGAACTTTAATCCGCTTAACCTAACCTATTTCCGTCTCAATATCTCTCCCACGGAACCACTGGTATTACTTCACAAGTCAAGTCTGTGCGCACACTGTTCCTCTTTTGAAAGACTTAAGTCGAATGTTCTTGGAAGTCATAATTTCAGTAATCCGTGCGAGTGGGAATCTAAATTAGTTAACTATGTTGAGGCTGAAAGAGCTTTGTTGATATAGAAAGATCTATCTTTATGAGGTCTTCTGGTATTACGAAGTACTGCTCTAGAAATATCTAAGTTGGATCCCTTGTGATCGCTATCGCGCGAATCAGCTTCAATTCCTAATCTAATTTAGGTCTGTAATATTCTCAAATTTTTGACACTTGACCCGTATTTCACAATTAAAATTGATCAAAATATAAATTATAAAAAAAATTAATTTTCTTCTACACAGATGCGCATTACAAAAGACGACATGTGGATCCGTACCTACGGTCGTTTGTATCAGAAACTTTGCTCGACAACTTGCGAAATACCGATCGGCATTTATCGTACTCAGGACACATCGAATACGGAAGCGTCACATGTGAGTAATTCACCTGTAGAGAAGTGGGGACCGTTTTCCGCTTTCGGAAAGCACTGTGTGCGCTTGCGACCATCGGTGAGTCCATAACGAAGTAACAACAAAGAATAATAAGTACAAAACAGTCAAAATTTAAAAACTGAAAGTGACTTTAATTAACAAATACTACTTATAACTATTACTTACTACTTGCTTAATTACATCATAATAATTTGAATGAGTAATGATGAGCACCCTTTAAATACTACTAACATACAAACATACATTCTTACATACAACCAATAGCATTAAAAAACTATCCATATAGAGATAATTTTTGTTTCATATATTATAGATCGATATTAAAACACTTTTTGGCATAACTTAATATAGCCTAGCGCCAAGAACCTAACCTTAAAATATCATAGTATCAAATAAGAAAATTTGTCTGTCCAACTTTAGATTAGTAAAGGAATCTTTGTAGAGTGGGTTCTTGCGACAGTTCAGTGAAGTGTTAATGCTAGTTGCTTATATATAAGGTCCTTAGAGATCGCGATTCCAGAAATATTTCACATCACTTTCTGGACTCTTTTTTCAGTGGTTAAAGAGAATACAAGATACTAATTCCTCATAGCTACTAAAAGGATCGCCTTTCTTGTTATTGCGTAAATATTTCGAATAGTTTCTACGATAAATTATAAGAATCTTTCTGCCCAAAAGCTCTACACTTTTGACAATAGAATACACTTTATAACTAATACTTAATAAATATTTGGGAAGAATTTTACTAAACATGAATTTCAAAATCAACATAGTCACAATATCAAGGCCTTATGGTCTATTATCTAAACTTTTAATATTGACAAGTTATATTTAGTCCAGGAATTATCTTTTAAGTGATTCCAAACTTGTTCTAATGTAGCCGGTGGCTATTCAGATTGAGTGTGACGCATAACTGACATGCGGCGAAAACCAACAAAATTGACAATTATCTACGTCGCGTTTGTGCATCCGTGGGCATATATAAAGCATTTAAATAAATGGTGTTTTTTAGATATGTGGTTTTTAAAAGGAAATAAAACGTATATAATTTAGTGTTATGGCCAAGAAATTAGCTTCAATTAAAAAAACGGGATTGCCATTATGTTTTAAAAATGATTTCAGACAAGTGACCGCCGCGGGTGGCTCGAATTCAGCCAAGAGGTCCAATTTTCGACCACTTTTTTGTCGCAATTGCGCCCGTATGTCAGTAATAACGGGCCGAATATGTTTTCTCGAGGCTTCAACCGTCTCCGGCTTATCTGTGTAGACAAGCGACTTAATATAACCCCACAAAAACAGCGTTAAATCACACGATCTTCTAAGGCCACAACTATTATTTTGATATTAAATTTTACACAATTTGCGAACGGTCTTTTTATTATAAAATGGCAAACCAAACTGAGTTTAAGTCAACAGCTGTCAAAAAGACCAACAGCATAAAAAGTATTGCCACACGTCTATAAAAAAACCCGTTATGCATTCAGTATACTTTAATGTCAGTTAATTACGTTGATGCAACGGGGTATGACGCAATTTTTGATGGATCTATATGAGTAAAGGTATTCCAAGCTTACAAAAATTATACTACAGAATCTTAATTAAATTTAATTCTTACGTATATTTATGGTTAATAGGAGTGAAACTTCTATACTCTTAACACCTTAAGGGTTAGGTGAGAAGAGCTCGAAAGGTATCGACAAAGTTCGAACTCGCCACCAGCGCTTGAAAAAAAGAGCCTCATTAATGCATATACAGTGAAGTGACTACCTAGTGTCATAGCGTCATATTTCTTCCATTCTTTCTCTCTCTATAATTGTTTTATCACTGAGTATGAATAAAACAATTGTAAATTAAAAATTGAGTGATATAGGAGTGAAGTTCTAGTTACTAAATAGTTCGCAATGACTCGAAACTAATAGAAATAAATAGCAATAGGAAACGAAAACTCTGCACACAAACAACAATTATTTCTTAATTGCATTTTGTCTTAGTTTTACGAAATATATTTTTTACATTTTTTAAAAATATTTTAAAATAGTTTTATTTTCTATATTTAAACGATTTGAATAATTTTTTTAACTTTACCAAAACTCCAAAAAGCATTTAATATAACACGAAGCAAAGCCAGCAAAAACGCCAACTAAAATACTTTTTGCTTGTATTTTCTCGTAGTTTATATACATAATATACATATTCATAAGGCTGCAAATTATTTTCGAAAAAAAAAGATTAAACAAAATAACTCCACTATGCTGCGCCAACTCAATAATGACCATTGCGACTTTAGCCAAACTTACAAACTTTTCTTGACTTAATTAAATCGCAATTTTTAACTACTTTCAATTACATATTTTTGACTATTTTAATTATTTGGAAATTTTTGTAAAGTTTTTGTATGAGACTTTGAAAATTTTTATACTTAGCGGTATGGTTTGATAAACAACTAGCTGACTTTTATTAAAAATATATATTTACATATGTATATACCTACATAACTGCATTTTTTTAAACGAAATGTATACATATTTTTCAAAAGAAATAACTCAAATGCTTTTTTGAAAGAACTATCAACCGAAACTGTTGCAATGTAACAGATATAACGTTTTTCAAATAATTTAATTTAAAAAAAGAATTAGTTATTATGTAAATTAAAATTTATAAA